AAATTACCCTTTCATAAGGGCTGTCTAAGACCACAGAAAATACAGATAATTGTATTATGATTCATAACAGTTGTAAAATAGGCACAAAGATGGAAAGCCAGGGCAGGAAAATGGCCAAACAGGAGCAAAAAGACCTGATTTCAAGCCCTGTCTGACCAGGAAGCAGCTGCACACTAGTTAAGAAAACCTCACAGTCCTAGAGAAGCTTGCAATTTGAAGGTTCTAAGAAGGCAATAGCATGATAGCCATCAACTTTTCCACTTTCCTGCTTCTGAAAATCTCTTCTTGAAACTGAATAAGCAATGTAAAGGAATTTGTGGCTAAAGGCCCATGCAATTTCAAAAGAATAAAGTTCTTTCATAATCACCCTTGCCTCATTGTATGTTGTTGTAAAATTTTATATTTAAAACTGGCATCTAATTGTGTTGTGAGGCTAGAAGACCTATGTGTTCGTTTATCCCTGAAATACAAAGATCACGTGTAGGGTGTTGCATATGTATAGACAGCTTGAATAAAAATGGAATTTAGTCATTTTCTGAATGACATACATAGCACTTGTGCTTGTTTCCATATGGGGATCTGAGATGATTGACAGCATCCAAAGACTGTAATCAACAAGGCAAGTGTGGACAGGACTCTTGAGAGCCAATGGTCTGATGGTCTCTACCATAACTACTCTCCATCCCCTGCTCACTTACTTGCCAGGTGAAAGGACTCTTTGTTCCAATACCACAACATATGTAAACCCTTTTCTGTATCCTGCTAGCCTCACATAAGGTCTTCTTGAACCACCTTAGCAGACCTGCAAGGAATGCAACCCTCTTTAGGCCATAAATAACACTTGGAAGTATTCTAGAACATCATGCAATCTGCCTCCCATGTTTTCCTGCAGCAGAGAAGCTAAATCTAAATATGCATGCAGTATTCCTCTAAGGTGCTATTAAAAAAATTTTTACCATTTAATTATATAACGGTTCCCATGATGATTCATATACAGCTTTCAATTGAAACAAACATCTACAGATGTCAAGGTTGCCTTTTCAGAAGCCATAATCTTCTTTAAACTCTCTCTCTGTAACTCAGGTCTCTGTCACCTTTAAACTTCTGTGTGTCATTTAACCTGTTTGCCAGCTCTCTTTCTTTAATAGTCCTGTGTTTTAGGCATGACTTCCTGCTCAGCCTCTGCTGAGTCACCACCTAGGAAAATATTTCTATTCCAAATACCTTTCCTAAGACACTTGAGTTTCATAGTAATTCACTGCTGTTCCTTGGAATGCTTGAATCTCTATATTCATATGACATCTTTACATGTGAAAGAAGTCAATACAGAAGCAAAAAATAGAAATTTGTTGTGCTCTTGCTTGCTTGTTTGCTTGTTTGTTTTTTCTTAAGGAACTGAATCTCTGTTGAATACTCTCTGCCTTTGAAGTTAGATAAAATCTTAAATGAAGTCTTAATGATTCAGGTTTATGTAATGCATTTTCCCTGAGATATGTACTTGTATTTCTATACCAGCCAATAATTTGAGAACTTTTTCAAAGTTTTAACAACTTTCTTTTTATATTCCCGATAAACAAGAGGTCAAATCAGCAGAGAGCTTTTTGTGTCTAGCATTGTTTTATTTGTGTAACATCCTTATAGCCATGACTCATTCTCTGTGTTATTGGCAGTAAGGCAAAGGACTGTAGTTAACCACCTTGTGCGACTGTGACACTGGTAATTTACAAGATGAGCATCTCTGATTTTGTGGCATAAAAGCCATCAACTGGGTCTGTCACTCTCCATTTAGTAGATGTCAATGTTCCTGTCATCATGTGGTTTTTCCAGATGATGAAAGGAAGTCAGGATTTTCATTTTCACCCATAGGTGCTGAGCCATGGCTGGCTGCCCCCCAGCAGATTTTGATTTCTGTGTGTATGCTTGAAGCTGTGAATCATGGCTTGGAAAATGGGAAAGCATTTTGTGGTGGTACCTATTACCAAGCTCCTTTGGCTGCCGTAATTAATTCAACGGTTCCTTAGCTTTAAAGGTGGCTAGGTAACCCATAACCCACCAGTTTGCTCTCTCTGATAAAAGCTTTTCATTTTTCTTTTAACTTTCCATGCTTCCTGAAATCAGCCTTGCTTTCTTCATCCTTTCAGTACTGTGTACCTGAACTTAAGACTATTACATGGTCTGAGAGCTTTGAACATCAGCACTGTGATCAGCCACTAAAGCTGTCCAATTTCCACTTTGTTCAAATAGTGCTTTTCTGACTTGTCTGGGGAAAGAGTCTGCCAATTCATTTTTTTCTTTTCTTATCAGCAAAACACAAATATACTGTGCCCTTGTAGCTTATTACAAAACACAGGGGAAAATCCCTGAACAGTCAGCTGAAAAACTGGGCTTTTGCTCTTATTCCCAAACATTCGCTTTGACATCAAATGAAAGAGCAAATAAGCAGAGCACTGATGTTATAGGCGCCTGCCTCTGAAAATCACCTGTCCTTGATAAGGGTCTACTTTACGCAAAGGATATTCAGTTTCTTCGAAATCATGTCACAACCTAGGATGCCCTAACCCTATTTACATTTAGATAGTCTGAAAATATATTGGAGAAATTCTTGGTGAGACCAGGCTCAGCTCCTGTCCTGTCCCAAACATTTCTTCTAAATATGGCAGAGTTTTCCTGTCCTGAGAAGGATGAGTGTATTTCTTACTGAACAAGGCCTTTGTATACGATTTCTCTTGTCTCATCCATACTGCCTTACATAGTTTGTTTTGCCTCCTGTGTCTGTTGGAAGCTAGAACATAGGAAAAATGTGAAAGAAAGAAATCTTTACATATCCTTCCACATAAGCAACATCCATCTCCTTCATTGAGACATGTTCTTCAGGACTTACTTTCATGGGTAAGGACCTGGTTTAGGCCACCTCAAGTTTATTTCTTTCTGGTTCTCCTACATACTATCTTTATGACCCTGTTTAAGCAAATAACTTAATCCCTCTCTTAATGTGTCAATTAAATTAGGAGTGTAGCTAATTCATGTAACAAGACCAAAATAACCCTATACTTGCAGAGCCACTTATAACGAAGTCTAGTGTCTGGGACATACTCCATGTTGGCAGAAATATTTACCATCCAGTTAACAGAAAGAATACAAAAATTCATGTAGAAGTATGGGATGCAAATTATGCATACATAATTACATCATAGAAAATAATAAGTCAATCTTTTATAAAAATGTTACCAGAACTGTCAGGACTAATCCTTTATTCTTATATTTTACTTTTGGAATCATTCTGTTGAAACAAACTCCAGGTCCCTCGGAATAATGAACATAAATACAATGATTTCTTCTCTGCCTCACTGGAGAGCCTGTGAAACTGCACAGTTAAAGAGTAAATAAATGGAGACTGTAGACGGGGATGCTCAATGCCAAGGAGTCTGGGCATAGTTGTTCCTAATATATGCTCTGGGTTTGGTTAATACTTTTAGCACTGACTGTGAAAGCAGTGAAATGTCAGAGAATACAATTCATAGTGTAGAACTCTGAAGATGCCATGGGAAGTTACACAGACATTAAAGTAAGTTCCCCCATGTAATCTTCAATGAGGAACAAAATATACCTTGATAGAAAAGCATAACTCTGCACTGCAGACTTGGGGTCAGGCAAAGCTTTTGATGCAGAAGGAAATAGGAAGTATATCACAGAAACATTTTGTCAGCATTCTAGAAGGTAGGAGATAAGATCCTGGCCCAGGGCCTGTGTCACCAGAAGAGTGTGGATGAGGGAATTCCCTGCCTTTAAAGCTTTGCCTATGTAATCAGTGAAACAGGCATAGGCAAACCTCCTCCATCATGCAAAAAACAGTGACCAAAAATGGGGAAACCTGTACAAACTTTTGGAAAAGTGTAAGGGGCTAAATAATTGTTTGCTGGTGTCATGGTGAAGAAAGAAACAAAATGTAAAGGCTGGTGAAACCTAAGTACAGAAAGAGGAGTTATGAGCTGGGAACCACTGGAAGGGTGAGTTTGTGGTGTTACCACGTATATGTCCTGACAGCATTTGACCCAGAAAGCCTACAGGAGAAAAGAAGGCTTAGAGTCTCTTTAAACTAATGATTTGTAGTAACACTATTTTAGGGGCCAGCAAGATAGCTTTACTAGATAAAAATACTTGCTGTGCATGCCTGTCAATTGTGATGAATCCCCAAAACTCATAGTAGGACAAAATAAATTCCCCCAAAACTGTCCTCTGACCTCCACTGACTCTCTCTCCTTCTCTCTGACTTTCTCTCTCTCTCTCTCTCTCTCTCTCTCTCTCTCTCTCTCTCTCTCAATACCCACACACACACACCCACACCATGCAAACAAGGAGTAATAATAAATTTTAAAAGAAAAATTATTTTAAACGACTTATTTTAAAAGTTATATATTCTTATAGAGTATGGTAACACAGTGATGATATACAGGTATTAATGTACAAATACTTCTACTGTTGCTCAGTCTTGGATTACAAAAGGCATTATGTTGTCAAGAAAAGTATTTTTGCAGCCATTAATAGACTTCTGGAGAGGGGAGAAAGGTTTTACTTCAGTCCAGCATTTATTCAGATTGACACAGTCTGCTAAAAATCATTATCATCCTGTCCTTTTGGTAATATGCTTAGCATTATATTTGTTTACAACATGTGCTCTGTTCAGAAGAACAATGATCTATTTACCAAAACATAGGTTCTTAGGAGGCTATTGGTAATGCCTGTTGAGACACCTGAAGTCATCTTCCTACTAAAGGTGAGGCAGGGGCATTATTTGTGGAGGAGTAGACTCCTGCATGTTACAAGGTCAATGGGTATTTACAGAAGTATCTGCATGTGCTTGTTCCAACTGCAAGTTTATCCTGCTCATTGAACTTTCCAATGGCTTACTCGTTAGAGAACTGGAATGGATGAGTGGCACTTGGTTAACTTAAACACAAGGACTTTCTAACAGGAAATATATTTCTTATCTTTTGTCATAGGTATTGAAGTTTGAGCCTGGCCATTTTAAGAGAAGGGGCAAAGCTAAGAAAATGGCTCTTGTCGATATCCAGTTGGATCATCATGAGCGATGTGACTGTATCTGCAGCTCAAGACCACCTCGATAAAACACTAAGCACATCTGTACAGTGAGCATGAAAGGACTTTTAGGTTAAGAAAACATGGTATGGGACCTTTGTCCCACTCTAAACAGCCAAAATTGCTTCTAACCTATAGTGCAGTGAATACATATGGATACATTGCTTGTTAGTGCCATGGCAAGAAGAAGCATATGTCATCAATTTTTATATCCTTAAACATAGGAATTCACTTATTAATAGTATGTGAAGATATGTATGTATACCCAGATACATGTCTAGCTCTATGTGTGCAAATAGACAAAATACTTTATTCAGTATATTTACTGAGGTCCTCCAGAGACAAATGATTAGATTATTACTTGATATTTTACTAAAATAAGAAAATGTGTCAAAAATATAAAACATCTTTCAAAAAATTCAAAAAATATGTTTATCCTAAACCTTTGTATGACAAAATATATCAGATCTTGCCCTCTTAAAGAAGGCATTTGTCCTTCAAATGAAAGATAAGACTTTCTTATGTGTATACCTTAATTCTGTGAAGAAAAATACATAGTTTATGGCAATAAAAACAAGTTTTGAAATATTTTCTTCATGAGATGCACTACTCACCTACAAATGTGGACAGTAATTATCTGTCTCAACGACTATACCAAAATAATACAGGATAGTTAACAAGCAAATTATTAAGTCCTCTTTTATCTATTTTCTCAATGCAAGCTAATTCACTGAGCACCCTTCTAAATGAATTGCTCAGGGACTTGTGATATAATAGGCAAACAATATTCAATAGACAAGCAATAGGTTGCTGCAGAATTTTTTAATTTTTTTTCATTCTAAAATCTTCAGAGAAGCATGTGCTTTTACGAAGAGCAGGCCCCTACACCTGAGCCTTTCAACATGATAGTCATGGCAAGACTTGGGTGATAGAAAGTCAGAAGTAAGCAAATATTGACATAACTGGAAATCAAGTGGGCTGTTTAATAAAGTCCACGTTTAAAAATGGGTCTAAGTCTTCTAAACTGTGCCAATAATTTTACTGTGTTTTTCTCTTGTAGTTCTGTCTTTTCATTATATGCACATGAAGTTATACCATATTATATGAGACAAGTGATCATGGAATTTATAGCCTAAAAGTGTTTATATATTAACAAGACAACTAGAGCCAGCTATAAGTTGTGAAGACACACATTTGGTCCTGCCATCCCACTGGAAAGGTTTTTGTTCTGGTTATGAAGAGGGAGAGTTAAGTTTCCCCAATGGCTCCTTTATATTTATTCTAAGGAGATTGAATCCAGAAACAGGAAGGTGTTCATTGCTTTCCAGACAAGATGTTTAGGAGGGAATCCTGAAGTCAAGTTAGCTTGGTTCTGCTCCCAGGAAACTACATTATTCTTTCTGCCTTGAGAGTACAAAAGAAAACTGATTTCTTCTGTGAGTCCAACACTACCCTGAGCACAGAGTGTTTTGTTTCTGGATCTGTACACAGGCTGCTTTGGTCCAGTGTCAGATGAGTAGCTCATACACACTTAGATTGCTAAGTATGATGCTGTCCAAGCCAAGTTAACAGCTGTGCTCAACAAACCTGTGGTTACTGACACATATCTTCTAAAGGTTCTCTGCAATCAATTATCTGTCACTTCTTCTTAATGATTATCAAGATTGAATAGTATATTGTTAAGTTGTCAAGCATGCCACAGAACGATGAGAAGTAAGCCAGGCCCACAGTCAAGAACCATTTTTCCTCTATGGTCATTTGGAAGCTTCCTGTGAAACAATGGCTTCAGTACAAAAAACAAACTATATATTTCATTACTCATGTAAAGGGCACAGCTCACCCATAGCTGTGAATATAAAACATTAGAGGGTTTTTTTCAATAAACCTTCGAGGAGGCAGTAACCAACTAAAGCCTTATCTGTACTTGTTATTTATTAGCTGTAATCTAAACAGACCTGGACTCCTATACTGCCTTTTTTTTCGTGAGCATTTTACTAAGCCCAATCCCTTGGTTATATGTTATCTGTTGCACATCCAGTGTGTAATAAATGCTTCATTACCATCTAAGGAGAAAGAATAAAAATAAACAATTGAACAAGTTTTACTTCAAAACAAACTAATAAATACACAGATCTGCATAGCTCACTCACCCAGAATAATATCTTTCATTCAATATGGTCTTATAGGGCAGAAAATGTTCATAAGTGGAGAGCTTTTATGATTATTTGTTATATCAGTAACGTGCAGCTTTTCCTTTCACAGTATTTTCTATAGAAATGTAATATGCCTCTTAACTTCATAAAAAAATAAATACTGCTTTTGAACAAAACTACTCTATTACTTAGTTCTGAATTTCAATTTTAAAAGCTATACAATATTACAAAGGTACTTTCACAAATGCATCTAACGAGAGTGGCAAGGTGGGAGATATTTGAGAGGAGGGGCTCCTGCTCTGAGCCCACAGACCTCCATGTTGCCTGTCTCCCAACTCAGGCAGCCATTGCTCATGCTTCTCTCTCTTCATTGGTAGTCTTGGGTCTTATGTTTTGTTCTTCAGTCATCTTCAGTGAAGATGTTGCTCACCTAAGTAAGAGTGTTCCCATCTTCTTCATCACAGTCTCATCTCTCTCCCCTGTACTTATGGCTGGACACCCAGCTGATGGGTCACTGCTGCCTGTTCAGAGAAACCAGCTCTGATCTATCTCCCTGAAGGAGCATAGATCATTACCATAAAGAGGGCTCTTTTCCATACAACAACACTTGCTTTCAGGTTGTTCTTTGTAGCCATTCTTCAAGAGACAGAATGATGGCAGCAGCAGAGACTGTAGAAACCTTGCTTCTAGCTTTATAGCTACAGATGGTTTAGAGAATATGTAGGTAAGGAAACGTGTATGTTAAATGACAAGAACTTTACCAGCAGAAATATGAGCTAATGTGTTAACCAAGGGGTTGGAATTGGGAAAAGATTAAGCAGTACTGTGTAAAAGACAGTTAATTCAGATAGCTTGGAATTTATGTGATGCATCATGAAAGTGATATGCAAAACATCTAATGTAAAAGCATTACGAATTTAATTCCATCTCCTAAAATGAACATGTGTCCAGTTTTTCTCCACTACTAACTCCACAGATGTCCAAATGGCTCATATTTTCAAAGGATCTTCTGGTACAACATTAAATTAAAATGTACAGATTTGTAATCATTCCAGAAATCCTAGAAAATGCATTTTTGGTTATTGGCATTTTCAACCAAACATGCTACAAAACAGAATATTTATAACACATTGCTTTTATTGGCATTCATGAAGCCCTGTTGTTGTTTTTAAAGATCAGATTGAACACTGAAGAGATCTACAAATAGAGAAGACCCCTTAAGATTTGTCAAATGAAAATAGGCATTACTGGGTAAAGAGAGAGTTGCTTAATTTAAGTTTATTTTGTTTTGTTTATTTTGGGGTGTGTTTAGTGTGTTCATTTGTTTGTTTGCTGTTAGAATTATATTTTCCTTTTACTGAAAATAGATTTTTTACAGAATATATTCTGATTATAGTTTCTCCTCCCTATGCTTCTTTTAGTTCTTTCCTGGCTCCCCTCCCATCCAGATCCACCCCCTTTCTGTCTCTTCTTAGAAAAAAACAAAACAGGCATCTAAGAAACATTAATAAATTAAATAAAATGGAATAAGCTAAAATGAAAAACAAACAAATCAGGATACAACAAAACAAACAGAAGAAAAAGAGTCAAAGAAAAAGGACAAGAAACACATATACACACATGAATCTCATTAAAAAAAATAAAGCCAAATCTGGAAGCAATAATATATGCACAAAGGACCAATATACTTTTTAAAAAAGAAGAATTCCTTAGCTCCAAATTATGAGACAAAGAATCCTCAAAGATGCCTTTGAGTTAATTTTGTATTGGCCAGCTACTGATAGGCACGTAGTCTACCCTTAAGAGTAGTTTATTCCCCCAGTGAGATTCCTTTGGAGAATACTTATTTTCATTTGCAAGTGGTTATCAACTAGAGATAGCCTCTAGATTAGGGATGAGGATGTGTGTCCACTTCTCTACTCAACACTGGGACCCTATCTTATACAGACTCTGTATATGCTGTCACACAATCTCTGTGAGTTTATATGTGTATCAGTCATGCTGTGTTTAGAAGGCCTTGTCTCCTTGGTATCCTCCAATCCCTCTTACACTCTTACTGCTTCCTCTTCTGCAGAGTTCTCTGAACCCTGAAAGGAGACATTTGATGAAGATGTCCCATTTAGGGCTGAATGTTATGAGGTCTCTCAGTCTATGTGCATTGTCTCACTTTGGATCTCTGTATTTGTTCCTACCTGCTGCAAGAGAAAGCTATGATGCTGGCTGAGTAAGGTACTGATCATTAGGAATCATTTTGTTGGTATGTTCCTTTAGCAGAAGAGTATTATTCTGTTTTACCCTAGTTCCCTGTGCTATCTAGTCTTAGGTTCTTGACCATCCAAGTGTGGTCAAGCATAGTTTCTATCTCATAGGGTGGACATAAATACAATCATATATTGACTGAAGACTCACACATGTTTTGTGCCACTATTGTACTAGCATATCTTACATTCAGGTCACCATTGCAGATTTAATGGTTTGAGGTGAGTTGATGTTTACCTTTCTCCTTTGATATCAAACAGAGTACCTTTCAGTACCATATACACTAGTCAGATGGGTGAAGGGTCTAGATAGGCACCAGCTTGACTTCTTTATGGTCAATGTATTTTATAAGTGTACTCTTCTGCAATAGGGCTTTACCATCAGTTTGTAAAGAGTGACCAATGGCATTGGCAATTGCTAGCCAGCTTGGGTGTTTTGGGAGTTCCTACAGAAACCCTTTGTTCAACAATATGGTTAGATACAACCCATTCTTGATTCAAGAGGCTTCATTTGGTGACAAGAGATGTCCAGTTAGGGCACTGTTTCCATGCTATTTTGTGATCCATACTTTATTGCTATGAAGAGACATCATGACCACAGCAACTCTTATACAGAATGAACTCTTATATAGAACTCTTAATGGAGGATGGCCTACAGTTGAAAGATTTAGTCCATTTATCATCATGGAGGAAAACATGGTGGCATGCAGACAGATATGGTACTGGAGAAGGAGCTGAGAA